AGTATATTCACACTGTTGTGAAAGAGACGGCCAGGAATTTTTCATCTTGCAGATCTGAAACTCTCTACCAACTAAACAACTCCCACTTTTTCTTTTCCCCTGACCCCTTATAGCCTCCATCCGGCTTTCTGTTTCTTTGAATGTGACTGCTAGATCCCTCATAGAAGTAGAATCATACAGCATTTGTCTTTTCATGACTAGCTTATTTCACTTAATACGATGTCTTTAACGACCATTTATGCTGTAGCATGTGTCAGAATTTCCTTCCTTTTTTTTTTTCTTTTGAGAGGAAGTCTTGTTCTCTCACCAGGCTGGAGTGCAGTGGCATGATCTCAGCTCACTGCAACTTCCATCTCCTGGGTTCAAGTGATTCTCCTGCCTCAGCCTCCTGAGTAGCTGGGACTACAGGCACGTGCCATCACATATGGCTAATTTTTGTATTTTTGATAGAGATGGGGTTTCACCATGTTGGCCAGGATGGTCTCGATCTCTTGACCTAGTGATCCACCTGCCTCAGCCTCCCAAAGTGCTGGGATTACAGACGTAAGCCACCATGCCCAGCCAATTTTCTTTCTTTTTAAGGTTGAATAATATTTCACTGTATATGTAATACATTTTTTACATTCCTATATTTGTCTATGAACACACAGGTTGCTTCCACCTATGATTGTGAATAATGCTATTATGAACATAGGTGTGCAAATATTTCTTTAAGGCCCTGATTCCAATTTTATTTTTGATATATACCCATAAGTGGAAATGCAGGGTCATTCAGGTTACTTCTTATATAAACTATAAAATATGAAAACAGTTTTTTCAGTTCACTCTCCAACTTTGTTACATTTAACACTTTATCTCTCCTCCACTACAGACTCCACATTTTCACCACTAGAGAACATATTTATATCCTGATACACCTGTGCCTCTGTGTCATAGTGCTGCGTGGGTCAGCACAGAGCAGGGTCACTGTATTTCTGAATACAGGCTTTTCCTATATCAGGAGAGACAACAATAACATAAATACTCATGAAAATGATAGTGAATTACAGAAATAAATTTCAGTAAACCCAAACGAAGTATATCTACAATTCAATTTCCCTGTTGTGACCAGATTCCTGGTTCAGACCTCACAGGTTCAGCAGAGTGCTCTGCCTATCAGCTTTGGAGCCTGTCTGAATGCAACTGCACAACAGTTACTGCTCTTTTAAAGCAATTTCTCAATTTCCTTTCTTTATTTTAGAATTACATGCTTATATTGTTTTTCTTTATAACTCAATGTATTCTCTGAGCATCTGTTTCTTGTTTAAGTGTTTGCTCCATGTAGGGTCTATGAATGGTGAAAATGGATCAGCTGAGTTCTGTGGCAAGCTTTTTTAGTGTACTTTGTGAAATGCTACTTACCTGTCTTCTATTTAATGTAAATAGCATGTGTGATATGGTGGCTTTCTCTCTCATACCTGACTTTTCCACTTTCGGTTTCTATAGTGGCTGCATTCTCTTTGTTAGGTCAATGTTTGGCAAATTTTGACAATGGAGGGACATTTTGAACACCCTTTAGAAGAAAAAGGCAATTATTGTTCAAAGCTTATCGCATCATTCAGGACCCACTTTCTGCTACCACCATTGAGAATCATGCTAGAGGCAGCAGTTGACCTGCACTTCTGCTAAATCACTTTGGGCTATATGACATATGGACTATATATGCACATCAAAAATAATGTGCACATAACTAAAAGAAACACAGTATCTCTTATGAGAGTAGGATGAATGGGACAAGAATGTAGGGAGCAGCAGGCAGACAAGCATGATGAAAGCACATGAGGATCATTCCATATCATGGAGTTGCTGGAGACAATGGAGACATGACTCCCACTTACTCAATTGCATTTCAGAGTAGGAAAATTCTTCCCTTGGGTCAACAGTGATCATGGAAGGCCATGTTTAAATAAAGATGTAATTGGGTCATGGTCTCTAAGTCAAGTCCAATTTATATTGAATGGCCTCAATTCAGGCTTTCCCAGATCCCAAACTTTCTATTTTTGCTACTTTTTTCAATTCTGACCTAGGACATGACCAAAGGCTTTTACTTTGCATTGGTACTATTAGATTTCTGTATTTTCTGTTCTCCAGGATAATAATATTGGGGAGGGGGAGCATAGACTTTATTGTCAAGCAGATCTAGGTTCAATATCTGTTTCTTAGAAATCTATAAAGATAAAATACAATATTATACCTCAGGTCCTGAGACAGTCCTTTCCATAATTTTGTCTGATGCTGGTCAAATCATAATTCTACATTATACACATGAATTTGTTAGTAATTTTTTTTCAAATTATACTGCATGGTAAAGCACAGAAGTGCAGACACAAATCTGTAAAATCCCATACCAATCCTCAGATTGCTTAAATGTTTGCTTTTTTAAGTAAAGGGAATCTAGGGAGTGGGAACCATCAAAATGAGAATCAGGTATAGGCAAGAAAATAAGACAACTTGAAGTATATGGAGATTACTGGGGGCCAGCAAAGCTTCCGATCCCCTGACATATATTTCAAGGATCTGAACTCAGTCAAGCCATGATGGGAATCTTCCATCCGAGGACCCTGATCTATTTTTCTACATTTGCTTCCACAGTTCTCCAAAAGGCTCGGATTTTGAGATTCTAAAGACATCTTCCATATTCCTACCTCCAAAATTTTGCTCACATACTGTATGCTTATTCTCCCTCTCCTCATCTCTGCCTTTCCAAACTGTTCTCTGGAGTCCTATTGAATTACATTTCTCCCATGAAGCCTCCGTGGCAGCTATAAAAAGAAATGGGCAGAAGGGACTCTAAATCCTCTACCTTATCTGAAACAGAGCAAATATGCTTTCTCTGTTTTCTATGTTGGGCTCCTATGTAAGATCTCAAATATTTTTCTCTGACTTAAGTTGAATATCTGCTATTAATTTTGGTCAGATTCTTTCCATCTATTGGATAATATTCTGCATATGTGTTCAATTCAGCTAGAAGGTTGAGTTCTAACTAAGAGGTAAATTCTTAGTAGACAGGAACCATTCCTCATTTACATCTTTAAGCAATGTTGAGATTGCCCACAACCATGCTTGTATTGAACACTCAATAAATTTTAATCAAGGTATTTTAAAAACTTTGTTTCTGTTATGGATTGAATTGTGTTCCTAAAGTTTATATGTTGAAGCTCTAACCATCCATACTTGAGAATGTGATCTTATTTGAAAAGAGAGTTGTTGGGGAGATAGTAAGTGAATAAGGCAGGCCCCTAATCTGTAAAACAAACAAAAACTTGGATACAGACACATGCACAGGGAGGGTGCTATGTGAAGCTGGAGATAGAGAACAAGTCTACGTGACAGGAGCCAGATGCTAGAGACTCTAGCAATCCCCCCCAAGCTGAGAAAGAAAGCATAGAACAGATTGATTTCTCCCTCACAGGCTATGGGCCTCAGAAGAAACAACTCCACCAACACCTTGATCTTGGACTTCTCACTTCCAGAACTAGGAGACAATAAATTTATGTTGTCTTTAGCTATCCAGCTTGTGGTGCTTTGTTATGACAGCCCTAGGAAATGTGTGCAGTCCCTTCAGACAGAAATAGATAAAGGACAAAATCAATGTGATTCTCTATCTTCCTGTGAAAGTCTGGCTTTGACCATGAGGAAACTGCAGAAATCTGCAGTGGTCTTTTAGCAGATCATAAGTCCCGCTGTGAAGGAATGTGGTCCACGGCAGGCCAGGAAATGTTGGAGCGTGTTACGTGGTTAGAGCTAAGGCTGCATTTATTGTGATTTTAGAGAAGCATGAGTAATGAGTGTGTGGCTAGGACTTGGCCCTGTGTCTTTCAGGTGATGCAACTGAAACAGCAAGGAAGCAGAGGGCGGGCCTCCTTTGGGATCACCATGGAAACCATGGCCATGGCCCTCATGGAGGGAGACCTGGGTGTGGGCTTTCTTTGATCTCCTCTTCCCCAAGGCATGAACCCTGCAGGATTAAATCCACATTGGCTGCTGCATAGGTGGAATAAGTTTTGGCGGTGGTAAACCTGGGAATGGGCTCACTGCCCAAGCCTCATCAGTATAATCATGCCCCTGAAATCGTTCCCATCCTTAGTTTATACTTTTAAAAATTTCCAGAGTCTCACAGTTAGAGTTAGAAGAGGATAGTGGCTGCTCTGAACTATGAAAAAAGCAATAAACAACCCCACAGTGGAAATACATGAAGGCTTATTTGTCACAAAATCTTAAGACTGGTGTGAAGCCTAGCAGAGCCAAAGATCCAGTCCCCAATCATTAAGCCTTTTTCTTAGAGATAAGGAGCTACCTTAGAAAGAAAGGTGAGACTTTTCTATCTATATTTTCCAGCATCCGCTACTTGGAATTCCAAGGAAGAGAGCAAAGAGGTAAAGACTGAGGAAATTCATTGATCATACTAAAACTCATATCCATATTTACTCTACATGTTATGAAGAAATTCTTTCATCTGTTATTTCATTTTACCCTCTCAGAAACCCTGTGAGCCAGATATTATTATCCTCCTTATACAAATTAGAAAACATGTATTCATTTTTTTTCTAAAAACGAAACTCAGAGAACTGGCTCAATTAATACATCTAGTAATGACCTGCTTAAACCTCACATTCAGATCTTTTAGCTGCAAATCTTATGATTTTCCACTAAGACATACTGGAGTAAAGGGCGAACAGAAAAGAAAAAGAAGGGAAAGACAGTTGTGTGAGAAAGGACTTCGTCACTTCAGAGGAGCAGAATTAAAGACCCTAACTGAAGAAGCAGGGCTCCATTCCAGGCCTGGCCCTCTAGGCCCTAAAGGCTGCCTTCCTACTGTACATGGAATCTCAGCTCTTTTCATGACTATAGTATTTGCATGATCCAACGCCTCTCCAGGCTTTCTAATCACAATTCCATTAGCATTTCCTCCCAGACCTCCATCTCCAGCCTCTTGGCATCTTTGAGTCTGATCACTTTACCTTCCGTGGGTTGTCTTTACTCCCCCTCACTTGTAGAAGCCAGAGCTGGATAAAATCTTCCTATTCAGTTTTGACCTTCTCTGCATCCGGTGTATCTCACACTCTCTGTTTCACAATAAATGAGTCTGTCAAAAGATTAGAACATGATTTAATTTAATGTACATCGGTTTTAAACTACATTTCAAGTAACAAGACTCTTAGGACCAGTGTTTTATTTACTTGGCTGTTGTTTTGGCTGTTTTTCCTTTTACCACCTGATAATTAGACAATGAACAAGGAAAATAAATTTTATTGTTTCTAAACAATTTGATTCATCCTCATTTCCTGGAGTGCCTCACATCTACATATATCATTTTGCAGTTCAGGCAACAATGAATTCTAGTAAAAGTTAAGTTAAAACTATCAAATGATAACGGAAAGAAAAGTGACTATTTCTGGTTGTCTTCATTCATCACCGCTTAACCCAAAGAGCTAAATAAATTGATCATTTACCTGCCTCATACTCTATGTGCTAAGGCCTTCACCTTCATCATCCCTGCAACCTGAGGAAGTGGATAGTGTAACTTCCATTGTAGAGAACAAAAACATTAATGCAGCAAGTGAATGATCAGATTTTCCCTAGGTTTGTTTAACTCTACAGTTTTTGGCCACTGTGTTATACCACCAGAATACTGGCAGCATTCCCTATGGCCACCGGAGATAGAGATATTATCATAAGGAAAGGAGGGAAGTGTGTTCTACAGACTTCTAGAACAAATAATGCCAACTTTACAAATTATAGCAGAAAAGAACAGGAATGGAAATATTTTTCTTAGAATACTGATGGCAAAACTGAGATGGATATTTCAGTGTTTGATCATTTTACCAGATTAGTGCCTTGATCATCTTATTTTTGCCATTACTCTCTGAGCCAGGGCAGCTGGGGTCATGTGTATGTCTCAATTAACCATAGCATAGTACAGCCTGGCCAGCTATGTTAATTAACTCCAATTGCTAAATGATAGAACAGTTCAGTCACTAACCAATCCAATTAATAGATGAGAGTGAGTAGCAGACAGAATGTGCCATGGCTAATTTCATCTCTGCTTGTTGATTTTTAAGTAATTGATCTGCTAACCCACTTGGTCGTTAGATGCCTGGAATACTGTGTGTGGTGTTCCAGCTGTTTCAGTAACACAATTATGGGCTTCAAATGCCTCTCCCTCAGAAACAACCAGCCCTGGATGAAAGCAAATACAATAGACCTGTTTGATTTTTTTAATGGATACATATTCTAATACTTGGATTTTCTATCTGAAATAAATTTATTGTTTTTCTTTGATATCTAAATATAAAAAGTATGTAACAATAAAATAATTTGCCTCTAAAAGAGATTACTTTACACACTAGAGTGTTTTGAATTGTTACACTGATAACTAACAAGTACTGCTGGGTATTTTTAACTAATAGTTTATAGGGTCTTACACGTTATTTCCATGTGGAATTTCTTAGTAGTGCCATTTTATTTTTGTTTCAGATATTGACAGTCTCCATTGCCATCATTCCATGTTAGAGATTCTGCTCAGAAAAAAAATAGTTTAATCAATAAACAATTAAAAATAGTGACTAGTCACATGAATAATAAAACTATATGGTTTTAATGAAAAGAGCACTAGTCTAGCTTTAGGAAAATTAGATTATAATCCCAACTACATCACAGATCCACTGAGCTCAGAGAATCTTAAGTAACAGGGAATGGGATTTTAGAGGCCATTTAGTCCAAACCCTCAAAGGAGGGCATCTGGCAATATGAAATAAATTACCATATCTCCAGATTCTTACCCCTTTATCCCTCTACCTTTAATGCCAATGAATCTAAGAAGAAAAAGTTAAGTTAAAAAATAGTAAACATTAAAACTAATTAGACTATGTGATATAGCTCATGTGTTGATTATTGTGAATTAATCTATAAATTACAGTATGGTTGTTAAGATTATATGGCTAATGGCAGCCCTCAAATTTTGAAAGATGAATGCAAACCCATTTTGTAAAGCTTACTTCAGGGACACTAGTTATAACAAATTATGAAATTTCTAACCATACATCTTTATTACATATTCCACGGATGTTTTGATCATAATAAAGCTTTTTAGTATTAATAACTACTAATTATGAGTAGTAGTAATTAGTGATTGTAGGGAAGTGGGTAAAGGGTATAATGTAGAAATTCATAGGTTTATATCCTTCTTTCAACTATCTATCATTCATTTACCTACATATTCAACAGCCATTGATAGATGGCTCACGGACACTGAGATACAAAAGGGAATAAACCCTGGGCATGGTGGTTCACACCTGTAATCCCAGCACTTTGGGTGCCCGAGGTGGGCAGATCACTTGAGGTTAGGAGTTCAAGACTAGCCTGGTCAACATTGTGAAACCCCGCCTCTACTAAAAGTACAAAAATTAGCCAGGTGTGGGGTTGCGCACCTGTAATCCCAACTACTCGGGAGCCTGAATGATGAGCATCACTTGACCCTGGGATGTGGAGGTTGCAGTGAGCCAAGATCACACCACTGCCTTCCAGTGTGGGCAAGAGAGTGACTCTGAAAAAAAAAAGTGAATAAGACATGTCTGCCTCCAGACCCACAGCCCAGGAAAAGAGACAGACATGAAAACCTAGGTACTCACCATGCAGAGCAGGATGGGCTGTGGAAGAGGTCTAGGGATGGGACAGGCAAGCACACAGACGATGCTTATGGAGACTGCTCAGTAAAGGACAGGCTTCCAGGAGGTAATGCCCACTGTCAAACTTGTAGCTTAAGGGTGAATAACAATATTAGTAACAAACGATATCTTACTTTTCAACTTTTATTTTAGAGGCAGAGTCTCACTCTGTTGTCCAGGCTGGAATACAGTGGTGTGAAACACAGCTCTTTGCAGCCTCAGCCTCCTGGGCACAAGCAATCCTCCTACCTCAGCCTCCCAAATAGCTGGGACCATAGGTGTTCACAACCACACCCGGCTACCTTTTAAAATATTTTATAGAGATGGGGACTCACTGTGTTATCCAGGCTGGTCTCAAACTCCTGGCATCAAGTGAGCCTCCTACCTGTGTTTCCCAAAGCACTAGTATTACAGGCATGAGCCACTCTGCCCAGCCCCAGATGATATCTTATTGATCTTTACAATGCGCTGGGAACTAGTCCAAGCACTTTATATCTATCATCATATTTAATCTTCATGACAACACTTTGAGGCAGATCCTATTATTATCCCCATTTTATATATGAAGTAACCAAGACTCAAAGTCATAGAGTTATGGAGTGGTAGAACTGGAATTTGAACTCAAACAGACACACACAAGGCTGTGACAAACAAAAGGGAGTGTGGTTGCACAAAGAGATAGGATGAGATAAGTGTATAGATATTAGCAAATCATTAAGACTTTCCATGACATATTAACAACTGTGAGTTGATCCTAAAGGTTAGATTCACAATGCCCCCCAGTGTATCAAAAGTATGACTCAAGCACATATATTCTCACTTCTATCCCTTTGCTCATATTATCCTCCCAAAATTATGTTCCTCATACTCCTCCTCCTCTTTAATTCTTTCTCATCCTTTAAAACCTGCCTCCTCTATGATACCTCCTGTCCAAACACCCACTATCCAACTCTTCCAGCAGATAGCCCATATCACATATCACATAATTCTATAATTGTGCATCATATTTTATACTAAATTTCATGTGTTTATCAAATTATTCCATATAGGCCATACACTCTTAAAGGCTGGAAGTCATGTCCTGTTTCCCTTCTATGTTTCCACAGCATCTAGTTTGGTTAGTGGGCAATTAGAAGTTACTCAATGAATCAAAACTGATAAATTGATAAACTGTAGGAGCAGTGGAATCTGTTTTTATTACTGTTCTTCAAAGCAGAAATTTCCCAATGTCTCTATCCAGTCTTTCTTGGTACTTGTTACATAATCAAGAGATTTAAATCTCAACAATAGATAATTATAACTTGCTTGGCAAATGCCCAAACTGCTGCCCAGATGAATGGAGGAAGAAAGATAAAATAAGAATAAATCACAACACACATTAGCTCTCTCTGATTTTCTAATTCTACTTCATAACTAGTATTATTTTCAAGATAATCATTATATTTTAAGATTATAAGGTCTCTTTAGTGTTTATGTTACTCTCCTACACCTTTCAAATCACCAATCTCTAGCCCTACTATTCAGTCAGGATTTAATTTTGAAATTAGCCTTTACAATTGAGAGACTATTTTTAAAGACCTCCCACATAGGAAATTCCATATCCTTCCATAGTAATTCACCCTTCTCAGCCAGTTCATCCCTATATTTAATCTAAATCCCACACACTGCAGTTTGGACACATTTCTTTTCGTTTTGACCCTTGCTGTGTAAATGAAGATTAGTTGCTTATCATCAATAATAATGAAACAATTCTTTAAAAAAATACTGTTAAATAACCCAGGCCTCTCTTGCTTAGCCGAACAATCAGTTATTTTAACCTGTACTCATAGATCTTATTTCTTGATGTTTCCTGATTATTTTTACTTTCACTCTTAAGTTTTTTTCTAAGTACTTCTAAATACTTTTGTGTAAAATCCAAAGCCTTAAAATGGGGCCCGGGGCATTTCTGGCTATCCGTAGACATAACTGGAAAATGACCTCATGTTGCTGATTTCTGCATTTCTTTTCCTGCTCCTCAGTGTGGTGCTTCCCACCTCTTACAGGGCTACCTTCCGGATTCATTGCTTGATAATCTCTCCTAAAATATTCATCAGCCAATTTAAGGAAGATTACTGAGTAAGGACTCCCTTTAAGTAAGTATTGTCTTGCCCCAGTTACGTGATACTTTTAACTGAGAATCTCTGAGAGTCTCATACAATTTGCCTACATTTATAAGAAGTCTACGTGAATAATGCTGATCATAGGTTCTAAGATCTATGTCATCATTAGCAGCAAAGTTAACCAATATACTTTTTTTTTTCCTGAATTATTGACCTCTGTGTCCACACCACTTCTCCTCCAAGTTGACCTGTATTTTCATTATCATGCTCCACGTTTGGTCGCCTATCCAGCCAGCCTCCACAGAATGGCTGTAATCTGA